CGATGATCGGCCGATGTCTGTTGTCCACCACTCAACAACCCCCCCCCCCCCCCCCCCCCCCCGATGACCTCAGATTCAATGGACACTTGACAATGCTTGACACTACGTCGGCTAATCCTTGAAAGATTTGTTAATGATAGGTCGCCGATGAAGAGCAATGTGGGACATCGGTGGAGACATAGCTGACTTTTAATTGCAACTTATTTTCTACCTATATGACCCCCACAGATTTGCCAAATGGCCTCAGTCACCGTCCGATTACCATAGGTGTCCGGCCAGCAACCACGCCATTTTTAACAAAGAAACGCATCGGTTTCTCATCGTATACCCCACATCGCTGGATGATATGACTGATACTTATGCCTTAGTCACATTTCCCGGCCGGTGGTTGTAGACCGATGGTAATCGGTAGTAATCCGTGGTGTGAAGCGATGCCCAAACATCGGTCCACATTGACCTAGTAGTCCTAAATATCCAGCAATGGGGCATTTTTTGATAAATATGGCGTGGTTGCTAAAGGTGTTCGACCAGCAACCACGCCATTTTTATCAAAAAACGCATTCACATTTGGTTCTTATCGTATACCCCATCGCTGGATAATGTGACTGACACTTTAATGGTCTACAAGATTTTTAGGTCACATGAGTAAACTCAGATCTAGATGATCTATTGCTATCTGTTTTCATCCATCATAGTGTGTCGTGCTACATTTAACATAACATTTACAGCTTCTCTGAAACTGCTCAACCAGTTTCAACCAATTTTGGAAGATAGCATCTATGAATAAAGAGGAATAAAAAATATGAATTTCATGGTCCCTGGGGGATGGGACCAATCCTCTAAAATTAATGCAATCTTTAAAATTATCTTTTTTTATTCCTGGACATCAAATGGTCAAACTGTTGGCATGAATGTTATAAGCATCCAGTCCTCTACCAAATAGTAAAATTCAAATAATGAAATGCATTTTTCCCCTACTCTGCCTTGAGTATTAAGTACAAAATGTACTAGTATCAAACTTAGCATGCTAAGTGTATAGTTATGATGAGCAATGGTGCCTCTTTCAAAATTGTGAATTTAATGGCCTCTTATTTTAAACATGAACCAAAATGAATTGTTGGAAAGTTGCTACACGACCTCAGGTGACCTATAAGGCCCACGGGCTTCTTGTCCAAAATTATATCCGATAATGTGGTGTACATTTAACTTACGAATAGAATCGTACGCTGGTAGAGATAAGCATATAGTATAACGAGTTTTTAGTTAGTCATCAAAGCATTGCCGATTCAGTTAAAGTATCAGTCACATTATCCAGCGATTAGGTATACGATTGGCAACCGATGCGTTTTTTGTTAAAAATGGCGAGGTTGCCGGCCGGACACCTATAAGTATCAGTCACACTATCCAGCCATGGGGTATACAATGGGAAACCGATGTGTTTTTTGATAAAAATGGCGTGGTTGGCGGCCGGACACCTATAATAATCGGTCGGTGACTGTGGCATTTTGTTAAATAGGCGTGGGTCATCGGTAGAATATAAGTTATAGTTAATAAATAGCGATGTCTCCACCGATGCCCCACATCGCTCCTCATCGGCAACACATCATTAACACATTTTTCACGGATTGGCCGATGTATGGCCGAGCATCATCAAGTGTCCGTTTAATCTGAGATCATCGGGTGGTTGATTGGTAGGCAACAGACATCGGTCGTTCATCGGTCAATGTTCGACCAAACATTGGCCCATAGTCGACCGGCATACGTTCACCAATGTATCATCGATGTAATAAACATCGGCCGATTACCCTGGAACATCATTTTATGATTAGCAATGCATCGCTGGGCCTTTGTAAGTCCGGCCGGCAACCACATTATTTTTATCAAATAACGCATCGGTTGTCCATCGTATACCCCATCGCTGGATAATGTGACTGATACTTTAAGGACTACTAGGCCGATAACGAACCGATATTGGGGGATTGCTCAAACAATGGATTACCATCGATTACCACCGGTCTACAACCACCGGCCGGGAAATGTGACAAAGGCATAATATTATGTATCAGTCACATTATCCAGTGATGGGGTATACGATGAGAAACCGATGCAATTTTTGATAAAAATGACGTGGTTGCCGGCCGGACACGTATAGTTATCGGACCGTGACTGAGGCTATTTGGCGAATCGGTAGGGGGTAATCGGTAGAAAATAAGTTGTAGTTAAAAATCAGCGATGTCTCCACTGATGCCCCACATCACTCCTCATCGGCAACCCATCATTAACACGTCTATCAAGGATTGGCCGATGTATGGCCGAGCATCGTCAAGTGTCCGTTGAATCTGAGGTCATCGGGGGGTTGAGTGGTGGGCAACAGACATCAGTCGATGTGCGACCAAACATTGGCCCATAGTCGGCCGACGTACGAACGATGTTAACCAATGTATGATCGATGTAATATACATCGGCCGATTTCCATGGAATATCGTTTTATGATAAGCAATGCATCGCTGGGTCTTTGTAAGTCCTGTTGAAAAGAGTAAAGTACATCCCCCCTGGTCAACATTCTACGGTGGTCACCTTTCGTCGTTACACCGGCAACCACGCCATTTTTATAAAAAGAAAAGGTATCGGTTGTCCATCGTATATCCCATCGCTGGATAATGTGACTGGTACTTTAAGGACTACTAGGCCGATGTGGACCGATGTTGGGGCATCGCCTCTCACCACGGATTACGACCGATTACCACCGGTCAACCACCGGCAGGGAAATGTGACTAAGGCATTAACATGGTTAAGGATATAGCTCAAAAAGTACAGAGAAAAAAAAATAATCTGTTCTTATTTTTTAAAGGGTAACAAGATATTTCACAATATTTTAATTAATACAAAGGAGATGAAATTACTTAATTAACCAAGGAAGGAGAAGACATAAATCACATAATTAAGGTGCTTAATCAGTCAGTTGCTTCTAACAAACCAAATCTGCGGCGCATACTTTGGGTGCCAAGTGTATGTGTGTCATACTGGTGACGATGAAGGGTTCATTACGAGCAGGCTCCATTGAATATTGTTTCCAACATTTCTTATGAAATGAAAGTTAACTAAGGATTTCAATCATATTGTAAATTAAGAAAATTCATATAGATTTTTTTTAATCGCTTTAACCTCTCACGCTAAAAATAAGAATTACACGTAGGAAAGAATTGCTTCTACGTTAATGAAACTACAGTGTATAGTACTACACGTATTACTTATTTACATATACTTAATAGCATTAATTTCATATTCTGCATTTCCACAAGAGAGATGCAAAAAATGATATCATATAGTCCCTCCACCACCCCCTCACACACACACACCCCCTTCTTGTTGATAGTTATAAGTACTTAGGAATATATTTTTCAAAATCAGGTTCTTTTAATCAAAATATAAAAGAACAATACAATAAATCTGTAAAAGCTATGTATGGAGTGATATCAAAATGTAAACAACATAATCTTTCTATGGATTGTCAGATAGATTTGTTTGACAGAATTGTACAACCAGTTTTGTTATATGGATGTGAAATATGGGGATTTACAAAAAATACTTTAATCGAAAAACTTCACTTAAAATATTGTAAATATATACTAGGTTTGAACACTAAAACGCCAAACTACATGGTGTATGGGGAACTTGGCAGATTCCCACTTATCATTAATATTAAGGTGAGAATGATTTCTTTTTGGGCAAAACTACATTTTTCTCAAACGATGGATAAATTTGCTACAAAAATGTATGTTCTAGCTTCAAGGCATAATTTGCCTTGGGTTAACTATGTTAAAACTATTTTAGATGATTGTGGATTATCTTATTTATGGACAACACAACAAATGTACAATGTAGCATGGGTAAAAAATGAAGTAAAAAGAATACTTGTTGACCAAAATATCCAAAACTGGCAAAGTAATGTTTTTAACTCATCAAAGGGTGTAAATTATCGTATTTATAAAGAAATACTAGAACCAGAAAGATATCTCGTTAATCTACCTAGAAAATTTTCAATTTTGTTATGTAAATTTAGATGTAGCAACTTTAAACTCCCTATTGAAACTGGGAGATGGTTTGGTATTCCAAGAGAACAAAGAATTTGTACTTTATGTGATTTTCATAAGATTGGTGATGAATTCCATTATGTCTTTGAATGCACACAAAAAGAAATTAAAGAGGCTAGGTTAAAATATATTTCAAACTCTTTCACATGTAGACCAAATATAGAGAAATTTAAACAACTTTTTACAACAACAAATTGTTCAGCATTGAAAAAATTATGTAAATTTTTATTGATTGTCAAACAAATTATAGATGAAAATAATTGACATGAACTTGAACATGATACTTTGTACTGTTTATAATGCATGTATTATATTTTTTGTATGTGTTTGTACATTTTCCTACCTCCTCTCTACAATGTATGTTTGTACATTTAAGAGAATAAATCATTGTCATTGTCATTGTCATTGTCATTTGATTTTTAGAAAGAAAAATAATTAGTCGTCAGAAAATACAAATGATTATAAAACTGATGCCAATTCAGGGGTTGAAACTTTTCAATGCTACACTCAATTTCATGCAATATTTATATAGTATATATCAGCTTTTCTAATGGGTTATAATATAATATATTACCTATTTATTTTCAATAGGTCTTTTCAGCAATTTGAAAAGGTATTATCTCCTATCTGAATAAGGGGAGATGAATACAAAAATAAAAAGCGCTTATTATTGTGTTATATATACATCTTCGTATTAACTTTGAAAATAAAATTCACTTCAAAGGAATTTAACAATAAAACCCTCTGGAAGTATTGTCAGCGAATTGTAAAGGTGCAAATATTAATTTCTGTTCATCATCAATCTGAAATTTTATACATGTATCAAGTAAAACAACGTTAAGTACTTAGCACTGCTCTTACATAAGTTTATTTGACAAGCATGCGTGATTTCCTGTCTCGCTCAGAGTTTGTTTACACTGAGCAGTGCGTCAATTGATCAGTGTTTGTTTATCCTGTGGTACATATGCACTGACCACGCACCTGCTGAGAATAGAACACAGTAGTCACTGATCAGAGATGCTGGCACAGAAGATGATGCGAGTACCAGCAGAGACAACTCGAAAGGTACTGTGCATTTCTCTTCTGCATATACTTGTACTATAATATATTGTAGAAAAGATTTATTGGATTATTTTCATTGATTTTTTATCAATTGATTATATTTCTAATTCATCAGTTAGTGTACTGACTCTTACTTAGCAGTGTTAGTTTTATCAAGGTTGTGCAATCTAAAAAGGTAAAGACATTTAATTAAATAGGTAAAACATGTTGAATTACTAGTATCTTGTGTATATAATAAAAACATCTATACATACATGTACGTCATTTGTTATGGGAAAACAGAAGTAGACAAGGTCACAGATATTAATAGCACGTCTGTATTTACAATCGATAAAACTGCACAATATACGAACAGAGCTTGAGATTAGGTGAAGTAATTCCTATTTTCTGGCAACATACAATGAGGCAGACTTGTATAAATATCCACACAGAAGCTACATATATACATTTTGAAAGTTAGGACGCATAAAAAGCCCCTAATAAAAATATAGGATCGTTATGATCGAAGGCCGGAAAAGTTTTTTCTCCATTTCCTCTCACCCCCTTTCCGTGTATTTGCTGTTTTCTAAGTAAAGGAGAAAGGCCGAAAACTGTCCATTCCGTGAGAGAAAGAACTAATCGAGGGTCAAAGAATGGACAGTTTGAGGCCTTTCTCCTTATACTTAAAACATGATTCTCTTTGTTTTGAAAATTTAACAAAAAATGTGCAAAACAGGTAGCACACATACTATAAATTCATTGTTTACAAAATGGACAGTTACAGGTAAGCTTGGGGTGCATAGCAATTTGTTGAATAGCCATTGTGTTTCCAGTTGCAAATAACAAAAGGTCTTTGTCTAAAGAATGGACAGTTACAGGTGGATTTCGGGGGATGCTAGTTTTTATATAAGAATGCAACTCCTCAAAATCAGTTTATATTTTGCGTTGTAAAGGCAAACATGTTTCCTTCAGATGGAGAGAATATATGACAGAATCAAAATCGAATTGAAACCAAAAGATGCACACAACCAGTGATACTTTGACCTGGAAACGGAGAATAGTAAGCGTAAAAGAAAATATTATCCAAACTTTGATTCCCCCAAAACTTCGACGACAAATACAGATATTTGAATGTTTTTTAATTCGAATTCAGTTTTTGAGGATATATTAATTGCAGCAATGTAAAGGTGAAATGCAAATTGTTTTCTGAGTGTTGGATAGCCGTGGTCCAAACTTCGACCTGAAAATGTATATCAAATGAAATCTGGAAATGTTTAATTTTAATTATTTGATACCGAAATATTCACTGCAGCAGTGTAGTTTTCATGGTGAAAACTGTTTTCTGGGTGATGGATTTAATATCAGCCTACTTCAAGCTTAAAATGGATTCTTCTCAAGGGAATGATGCTTCCAATCAAATGTGAAATTGTGTCATTTGAATTAAGGTTTTGTGAATTGAAATAATGTGCATTACTCATGGATTTAAATGTGTAAAATCGAACAGATCAGATGCAGACACTGTGTTCTGGATTAACTTATATCTAAGTTCTTTTTCTTATTCACTTGTACATTAAATCATATTTAATATATTAATTTGTTTTTGTTTCCCTCTAGTGCACATGCTAAGGTTTACCTGTAACTCTCCATTCTGTTTGTTTCAACTGTCCATTTTGTTTGTTTTTAACTGTCCATTCTTATTGAAAAAACTGTCCATTCATAAAAAAAATGGACAGTTTTCCAAAAAGAATGGACACTTACAGGTGACTTAATGGATTGTTTGGGGAGTTAGCTCAACATTAAGCTATAGAATGAACAACACTAACAAAAGGTTTACGTCACAATCATGTTTTAACCCTAAATAAGACATTTTTCAAGTTCTTTTTAATAATTCAGAATATCAATTACACGAATTTGTTTCGGTAATATTTTTTTTTTACCCATAGTATACTGTGAGTTTCAAGTTTATTACCGAAACAATTAAGTGCCTGTCCATGTGGTATCTATATTGAACTCAAGATGTTGAATTTCATTGCAAATACGTACATAAGTTATAAACCAAATCTTCCAAAAAGAAATACACATTTCATTCTGTTCTCTTAATTGTTGCTTTACAAGCTGAAACCTTTTGTTTCACAACAGATGATGAGAAACGCATTGTCGTTGACGTTTACTTCGAAGAAACCAATTTCCACTGAATATTCATCGAAGTTGAGGGACGAGAAGCGACTGTACTGGAACGGTAAGGATTGTTGTCATAGTGTCAGGGCATGAAACGTTGTTAATGGGCATTTATTTTAATGTTATCGCATATATGACATGTCCAGATATAAAATTTCAAATGCGAAAAATTGTCAGATCATATCTTTTTTTAGAATAAAACTACAGAAAAGGAAATCTTTTAATATATTATAAAGCAGTTTGCTCAGCACATGGGAGAAAAAAAAACCTTCTCGTTGATTAATACACTTGGGGGAGGAGGAGGAGGAGGAGGGGGCCACGTTCTCGTTGTTGAATAAAAATATTTTAATTGCATGAATCATTGAAAATGCGCGTATATGTCAATATGAGAAAAACACTTTTCAAAGGTTTAATGATGATGTTCAGTTTTTTTTTCTCTCGTTTTACGTTTACATTTTTTGCCTAAAAGCGGAATTCGCTTATGCAAATCATCACGTTAACCATCGTAGCCATGGTAACACGATATTAAGATAAGATGAGATGCATTATTACTAATTCAGTGACCATATGGGCATAAAGAGAAACAGAAGAAAAAAAGCCTAAACTAGAGGTGAACAAAAACATCATTTACTATAATTATGTTTTTGTAACTTTCTGAATAGATTAAATGCTGAAAAAAGATTTTATACATTCCAGACCCGAATCACAGTGGGAATAAATCTGTGTACTGCATGCAGTTTGATGTTTCTGGTCTCACAGAAAATGAGCTATCTGCATTTACAAAGACCTTGCATAACGACGTATCCAGCATGAAACCGGATATTGTGTACATACAACAAACGAAGGAGGGCATTTACTCGGAAGAAATCGGACTCGGGATGAAGAGATTGGGGTATGATGGCTACATACAAAAGGTCACACCCGAATTAAAACAGGCTACATTCTTCCGTTCAAAGCTCCTTCATGGTTTACAGAACGGCTCCAATGTTTTAAACACATCAGCGACTGGATAATGAATCATGAAATGTTATTGGTCAGATTAATGGCTTGCCCAGTTCTCATTGGCTCTTCATAATAATATGATGTTCAACATCGTATCCGTCCCGAGAGCAAGGATTCCATTGGTCACAAAGGATATAGGATGTCACGTGTCACCTGTTCCTGCACTACTAAAATAATAGTAGATGAATTAATAAAAGTATTACTGAAAGGTTACCATTACTTTCAAGGCATGTAGTAAAATGATATAGTTACACAAGTTCATTTTATACGTTCATGCACATCTTATCCATTCTGTTCTCTTCTTCATATTTTGTATATGTCAAGTAGAAAACAAAGTGGATAAGATGCCCCTGTGGTTCATGCGTACCCAAACTAACACTATCATTACTAAGAGACAATTCAGCGGCAGGTTTAGGGGTACTAGTATTTTCAATTGTTAGTCCATTATTTATACACTGAATTGAGGACGGAATTTCTTTTATTTCCCGATCATGACAAGGAGCACAAGGCGATTGTGACAGGTCGGCAGAGGATGCTTACTCCTCCATGGCACCAGGTCCCACCTCTGATGTTTCGGAGATCCCTGTTTGCTATGCTCCTATTTTGTATTGTTTTATGGACTCTTGAGTTAGAATACAGTTCGTTATCTTCATAAATATCATTCATATGTTTTAGTAAGAAAGTAAGATGTATGTACATAGATGTATATAGCTTTTGACTTTGTTCTAGAATTTGGAAAATATTTGTTTTGTTTTCCATCCTTTACTGTTTTTAAACGTTAATATAATTGAAACGTGTTGAAATAAATTTGTTTTTGAATTATATTGTTTCTGAATTTTGACTTCGATTCTACACTCATGGCAGTTGAGCAGTGAGTTAGGTGCAGTGACACGGGGCCTCGTTCGAATGACCCAAAAATTTACTTCAAAATGCCCAGCACTTGGCGAAGGTACAGTTGCCACCTGTTTAATTTTTAATGATTTGCCTAGTTCAGTAGAGGTTGAGGTTCGAAACTACCAATCACGAACTAGAAATATGCCCACAGGACATGAATGCCCCCCCCCCCCCCCCCCGAGGGTATATTAGTAGTGCAACATGAAAATTTGTATTAGCGTATAGAATTTGATCAGAATATCTTGAATAGATGTAGTTGAATTGCTTACATCAATATTTATCAGCATATGAAGTTTGACACTAATTTCAGAAAAGTGAGGTCAAAGGAAAGGCCAAGGTAAAAAAAAAAAATATATTGATGCAGCTGAAAAGCTCTCATCAGAATGCATCAGCAAATGAAGTTGAAAAAAATATTATGAATGGTTTCTGACTATAAAAAACAATTTGATAAAAGTGAGGTCAAGGTCAAATGAAAGGAAAAGGTCATAAATGTTGATGTAGTTGAATTGCTTACATCATTATGTATCAGCATATAAAGTTTGACACTGATTTTGGAGAAATGAGGTCAAGGTCAGAAATGTCAATGCAGTTGAATAGCTCTCATCAGTATGTTTCAACATGTGAAGTTTGATAGGACCATCTTGAATGGTATGTTTAACAATGAGTTAAACACATTTAAAAAAAATGTGATCAAGGTCAAAGGAAAAGTTAAGGTTAAAAATGTTGATGCAGTTGAATAGCTCTCATCAGTATGTATCAATATATGAAGTTTGATAATAATATCTAGGTTCTTTTTTTTCAAACTGAGCTAAACAATAATTTTAGAAAAGTGAGGTTAAGGTCAAAGGAAAGGTCAAGGTCAAAAGATGTTGATGCACTTGCATAGCTCTCATCAATGTGTATTAGTGTATGAAGCCTGATAAAAAATATTATGGACGGTTTTTTAAAACTGAGCTAAACATTAATTTTAGAAAAGTGAGGTCAAGGTCAAAGGAAAGGTCAAAAGATGTTGATGCACTTGCATAGCTTTCATCAATATCTATCAGTATATGAAGTTTGATGAAAATATCTTGGATAGTTTCTTTAAACTGAGCTTTGAATTGAGCTTAACGCAAAGTGTGACGGAAGGACAGACGAAAGACGGACATGACAAATACTATATGCCCCTGCCATATTCATGGTAGGGCATAATGAGCGCTCTGATCTGTGCAGGTACGTATTAAAAGTTCCCCATTATAACCAATTTTAAATCCTAAATCGTGAGAGGGTAAGCAAATGTTTATAAAGATGACCTTTAATTACCGCAAGGACATGGCACTGCGAATATTCATGAAAAGTTATACTACCTACGTTGGTTTGATGAATACTTTTCAGGGAAACATACTTATGGAATCTGAATAAGGCCATGTTGTTCACTGTATCGAGATTTGGTTACTTAAATTAGTGCTAAAAAATTAGGAAGCGGTGTTACGATGACAATGGTTCGATAATGATAAAGTGATGGTACGAAATCATTAAGACGATGGTGCGACAATGCGATGACGATAATGCAATGACAAGATGGAGCGACTTGACTGGACACCTATGAAGCGATAGCTCGATTACAAGTTGATGCGACAGTGATGTATATTTATTGACTGAGTTCGAGGGTAACATGCGTTTTATCGGAGAACCAAACTATCTGCCTGAGGCCGTTAAGCAGAAGGCGGGTACCTTAATTTGGTTCGAGGGTTGACAAAACATTAGAATGTTAGTCTTTCTTTCGTATAGATTTGTATAGGAACAAATTTTGAAAGGTATAACAATGACCATTATACGATGACGATGAAGCAATAATGTTTGATAATCACGCATAGTTCTATTGCACCATTTCAATTTCATTGCTATTGCACTGTTGCGTCACGCCATTGCCTCATCATATTAACGCGCCATTGACCTTTTAGTTGATGCTCGATAGCACAATATAGTGAAGTATTTGGCCACACACGAATCCCATACAAATTATTGTTTATCCATCAGTTTGTACTTTTAATGAATATTCATTCGAAGCAAAAAAGATATTTGAAAAAGAGATTCCTTTTATTTTACTTACAAAAATATTAACATATCAATTACATGTGTATTATATATTATACGGATTAAAACAAACCAATCCACAAATATAGAGCTAGCGACACATATATCTGTATAAATTCCAGCCGTTCCTTTCAACATTCATTTTAAAACTAAATTGTTACAAAAATATGTTATAAATAAATCTTTTTCATAACATTACAGTAATTCATTCCTATAAAAATAAATGTAACAAATTAAAAACTTAAAGTATTTTTTTTACAATTTAGTAAAAGTGATATTATGCCAGACATAATCTGAAACCACGTACATACAGTTCACCCGAGATCCCCGCGATCTGTACACGTGTTAATGGCATCTTTACACGTGATTCTACCCTCACAATCACACGAACACTTAATTTGAGAACACTTCTCATTGATCACAAAATCTGAGTTCCCGGGGTACTTTGATCCGGCGTATTCACACTCGGTACACGACTTTTTCTTGTCCCTGCAGATGTCCACGGTGCGGCTCGGTGGACAGTTATAACTTCCGTCACAATGACAGTCGCAATCGTACTCGGCACAGCCGTTTATGTACTGGAATCTTGTGTCCGATCGGTACTTATTGCCTTGGACCACGCATTCGGTACAGTTCGCGGCCTCAGTTTCTTGGCGCGCGCGATGACTCCCACATCCGGGGATTCTCCTCGTCCTCTCGGCAGGACAGACGTAGGACCCGTCACAGTTACAGTCACAATCGAAGCGGAAACAGTTCTTGTCGTACTGGAACCTTGAGTTCGGCTCTCTGTCGTATCCCTGGACATTACACTTCCTACAACCCCCGCTCTCCTGGGTACAAATGTTTTCGGTGCGATCAGCAGGACAATTCCATGACCCGTTACAGTAACAATCGCAATTAAACCTATAACAACCATCTTCATGTTGGAATTGGGAGTTTCCTGCGTACGTTTTACCGTGCGCTGTACACTGCCTACAGGAAGATCCGTGACTTGATCCAGACCTAGAGCTGGTGGAGTGGGTCTGACAAATCTCCTGTGTTTGAGATGCAGGACACTCCCAACTACCGTTACATGCACAGAAGCATGTAAATCGATAACAATTGTCATCAAACACGAATCGTTCGTTTGGTTTTCGATGAGCTCCACCAGCAACGCAGTAAAAGCAGCCAGTGTTGCCATAACTATTATCAGACGAGTAACCATATCTATAGAGATGACTGTGTTGGGAACCAACATTTTGGTGACTGGAACCCCTTTGATTTGACGATCTACTACTGCTAGAGGAACCACTTTGGTGTGTTGACCAACTACTAGTGGAGGAAACATTCCGGTAAGATGACCTACCACTGCTAGCAGAGCCACTTGTATGACTGGATCCACGATCACAGAAGTTGACTGTTTTCTCAGCAGGACAATTGTATGCGCCACTACAGTCACAGGTACACGTGTACCGATGACATTCTTTGTCGTATATGAACTGGGCGCCTGCACTGAAAGGCGTTAAAGGATTGAAATGAGAGACTAATCATCTAACATATAGATTTTTTGTTAGTAGTTTATTAGTAAAATAACAAATATTTTTCAGTTTATATACAAACCTATGTTGCCGCCCCGTTGGATCTGTGCACTGTCTACAGTGATGTTCATCCTTGTCGTGCGTGCAAATTCTGCGGGTGTTCTCCGCGGGACAGTTGTAAGTTCCGTCACAGGCACAAATACAATTATATCTTTGACAGTCCTTATCGTACGTGAATCGACCATTTGCACTGAAATAGAATTGTATTTCCAAATGAAAATCATTAAAACTTGAAAAAAAGAAAACATGGAATTGTAGACGTTGTTAAAGTTATTCATTTCTAAGTCAACTAGTGCTAATTGTAACGGGGACCGTTACAGATGTTCCCCAAACGCTCCCCCACTCCCTTTTGGTGCCATATTCCCTGTTATCTCTATTAAATAAGAAATACTTCATGGAATTTAGACTTAATCAAGGTCTTCCAAGAAAAATACAAAATATATTAAAAAAAAATAGGCATTGCACGCGTGTTCATGTGCGTAACGACCATATTATCTTGTCTACACTATCTAAAATTTTAATAATATCAAAGCATGTAATCCAAAAGTATTAAAAAATGCACTCATTCGAGTGTATTTTTTATTTTACTCATTTCACGTGCAAGCACGTGCATAATGACTACACCTTCTTGTAGGAGTCCCTTATATTTATCCAAGTTCTAAATCCCATCCTGTTTGGTTGAAAAACAAGAGAGTTATAGCCATTTGAAGTTTCAGCCAATCAGATTGCAGCACACATGCATGCGCGTGATTTCATGAATATTTTCTATATCATATTTTAGGATATCGTAATGCATGACTATGTTTTAAATTTCAAAGCATTTCGTCAAAAAACAAAGGAGATATAGCCATTTAAAGTTTTAGCCAATCAGATTACAGCACGCGCGCATGCGCATGCTTTTATTAAAATTTTAATATATCATGCTGTAGATCTTCATAATGTAGGACCATGTTCAAAATTTCAAAAGATTATGACAAGAAACAAGAAAGATATTGAGACTTTAGTTTCAGCCAATCAGAGCAAAGCGCACGTGCATGCGCGTGAGATCTTGCTATTTTGACCATGCCATCTTGTCTATACTACTAATGTATCCTTACATTATGAGTTTCAAAGCATTTTATCAAAAAATAGAAAAGTTCCGACTATATCTATTATATTGGTTATTTCAAGTGTTGCACGTGCGCGCTCTTGCAAGCACGTGCGCGCAAAATGACCTTGATTCCGCAAATCTACATAACATGTCTACTTACCCTAAAAAGGTTTTACCTACCTCGGACGAACAGTTTACAAGATCATTCCCGGACAAAAAAGTACCCAGGAAGAAGAAGAAAAATAACTAGAGCAAAGCTCGTTGCAAAGCAACGAGTAGGTCTTCCGTCATGTTTGACCGGAAGAGGCTTTCATTTTTACCAAACATGAGAAATAAAGTCCAAAAATGGTTTTATCTTCTAAATCCATGTTAATTATTGCAAAAATAAGCCATTTACTGTTACTTCCGGTTTGACCGGAAGTGACGACGACGGACGGAAAATTATTTGTAATGCTCCCAGAGACATATGTTACCAAAAAAATTGTCAAGAACGGAAAAATTACGCGTTTTCCGACTACTTCCGGTTTGACCGGAAGTGACGATGCCGGACGTATTTTGACGACTTCAATAGATTAAGCTTGACAATGTGAACAACTTTGCTTCTTTGACGCATCACAAATTCTCAATACTTTTTTAGATATAAAGGAAAAACTTTCGGCCCCTCCAGGCCCCTGATTTTAGGGGCCAGCCCTTTTTTTAGGATGTCATTTGAAAGATCTTGAAATTCTACACCTTTTTTATTCTACATGCTTTAACAAAATATTTCTAGGTAAAAAGTTATCGTTGAAAAGGTGCTTAAAATTTTGAAATTCTTGATAGGACTATTTTCAGGCCATAACGAGCGTCGGCGCTTCGTACTTCCGGTAGTTGTGATATACTTAGTGCACTTCTCCAAAAGTTGCTCTAGCATCACTGAAAATTTCAAGCTTCTGTGTTAAGTGCTTTTTGAGAAAACTGCCGGACAAAATGACCCTCTAAAATTCACTAAATCGCAGAAAACTCCGAACCGGAAGTGACGTCATCAAAATGAAAAAATATATATCTAGATTTTTTGATGTTCTATCAGACCTGAAAGTTTCATGAAAATCGATCGAGCCGTTCTCGAGAAATCGCGCGCACAAAATCGGTAAGAAAAAAAAACAATAATAAAAATAGTGGAAAAGAAACCTAAGAAAAACAATAAGGTCTTCCGCTGAAGACGGAAGACCTTAATAATAACTAGTGCTAATTGTAACGGGAACCGTTACAGATGTTCCCCAAACGCTCCCCAACTCCCTTTTGGTGCCATATTCCCTGTAAGCTTCATTAAATAAAACAACCTCTGTGCATTTATGACTTTAACAACGTTTTCCCAGAAGGATACCAATTATATTTAAATTTTAGCTTTGCACCTGTGCGCATGCGAATACATGTGCGATATAACCATATCATCTTGTCTACACTATCTATACATTTTAATATACTATATATTAAAGCATTCAGTCCAAAAGTATTAAAAATCACTAGGGATGTCAACGAATATTCGAATATTCGAATATTCATTCGATGAGTTGATATTCGAATATAAATTTATGATTCGAATATTCGTTTTTAGGTATACAAGCATTAAAAAGAGAGAAAAACCTGGAAAGTTTTATTAGAAATTGAATCAAGTTTGTACAAAAAAAAACACTCCTCTTGGATTACTTTAAAGTTGTGAAGTGTGTATAGCTAAGAGTAGTTTATTTATTTGTTCACTTAATTAGTGGTATAATAGTGTCCAGTACTAACAATCAGCTTTTATTGTTGTAAGGACTCAGTTTTACAGTAAACACACAAACTTCTTGTTTATCTAAATATCATTAAAAATCATTATCAGGAAATTATAATTAGCAAAAAGTAATTGCTTTTGATATTTCACCATTAGATAATTGTTCTGCTTGGTATAAATTTGTAGGAGTGATCAGTGCAGACTTTAGTAAGACGATCAATTAATCTGGAACATACTAAAGAATCTTTTGAATTTTCAAAAAAAACAATCATTACATTTTGGATGTATACTATTCAATAATTAAAAAAAAACAAACTAATTGTAGTGCATTTTTTGAACTCTACATGAGTTTTTATTCCAAAATAATAGCAAAAACCTATACTGTTTGACAGGAGAGTGAAGATATATATTTGATAATGCAAGATGTATTTATTTTATCGAATATTCGAATATATTCGAATACTCCTATCGAATATTCGAATATCAATTATTGACAATTTTGACATCCCTAAAAATCACTCATTCAAGGTTTTTTAAATTTCACTCGTTCGAAATGCACGCACGTGCGTGCACGAGCATGATCACCATACCTTCCTGTAGGAGTCCTCTATATCTATCTATATTCTAAATCCCATCCTGTTTGGTTGAAAAACAAGGGAGTTTTAGCCATTTCAAGTTTCAGCCAATCAGATTGCAGCACACGTGCATGCGCGTAATTTCATGATTTTTTTTCTATATCATATTGTAGGATATCCTAATGCATGACTATATTTTAAATTTCAAAGCATTTCGTCAAAATACAAAGGAGATATAGCCATTTAAAGTTTCAACCAATCAGATTGCAGCACACGCGCATGCACATGCTTTCATGAACATTCTTATATATCATGCTGTAGATCTTCATAATGTAGGACTATGTTCAAAATTTCAAAGGATTATGACAAGAAACAAGAAAGATATTGAGACTTTAGTTTCAGCCAATCAGAGCGAAGTGCACGTGCATGCGCGTGAGTTCTTGCTATTTTGACCATGCCAGCTTGTCTATACTACTAATGTATCCTTACATTATGAGTTTCAAAAAATTTCATCAAAAAATAGAAAAGTTACGGCAATATCCATTATATTGGTCATTTCACGTGTTGCACGTGCACGCTCTTGCAAGCACGTGCGCGCAAAATGACCTTGATTCCGCAAATCTACATAACATGTCTACTGACCCTAAAAAGGTTTTACCTACATCGGACGAACAGTTTACAGGATCATTCCCGGACAAAAAAGTACCCAGGAAGAAGAAGAAAAATAATAATAATAATAATAACTAGAAACGATCTCGTTGCGAGCAACGAGAGGTCTTCCGTCCGATTCTGAAATAAAAAGCGAAAAATCTAGCTGAAAAAGTCATAAAAAATTTCGGACACACAGGGGATCGAACCCGGGTCGCCCGCGTGAAAATCCAACGCGCTAACCATTACGCCATCGGGAACGCCGCTTCAAATTTTTAAATGCGAATATCTCGAGATTGGCTTTATCAATTCAAAATCAAATTACATATTTCGCATCCTATAAAATGTCTCTATTATCACTGTAAAAATCAAAGAAAAATAATGAAAAACAAAAAAGCTGAAAATTTTGATTTTTTTAATTCGCTTCCGGTAGCAACCGGAAGTACCGACGACACACGAAAAGGACATTCCGCATATCTAGAAGTCATGTCCTATGTTCTCCAACAAGTCTCCAGTTCATATCTTTAGTAGTTCCTTAGATCTCGAACTGACAAAATTTCATTTTAAAATCAGGAAAATGGCCATAACTTGGCACCGGAAGCGACTTGTTCCAAAATTCTTCCAAATGTAACAATGGCATATAAGAGCGCATCATCCCTGAAAATTTGATGAAAAACCGATGAATAGTTCTCGAGATATCGCGTGCACAAAATTTGTCTAAAAAATAAGAAT